GGGGGGGGGGAGAAAAAATATGAAACGGGTTGATTGTAAGACTTCTAGTGTGGCTGGCAAGGGGATGGGAATGCCAAAAGGAAATCTAGAAGGAGGTACTGGCTTGGCATTTTTCAAGTTATTTTTGAGATGTCTGCAGGGCATCCGTACATAAAATGTCACTGGACAGCCATGTTTTGACGTCTGAAGTCAGGGCTAGAGACAGAGATCTGGGTGACATCAGCACACAGGTGGCACTAAGGTACTTGTTTAATTCAGCTTTTCCCAAACTAGGTTTTGTGAAATGTTAAATATGTTACAAAAATGTGTTTTGTGGCTGTAGTAACTGTAATGACCACAACCTCAATGATGGCAGCAGTTAACAATAATACAGTACTTATTACTATGTGCTAGATACTATTCCAAAGGCATTACGTATTTTAACAATCTTTGTAATCTTTGTATACGTGTGGTTTCCAAATCTGGCCTCACATGAGAATCACTTGGGGCATTTTTAAAAAATGTTTCTTCTATTTTGAAAGAGAGAGAAAGCTTGAGCAGGGGAAGAGCAGAGAGGGAGGGAGGGAGAGAGAATCCCAAGCGGGCCCCGTGCCATCAGTGCAGAGCCAGACGTGGGGCTCGATCCCACTGAACCGTGAAATTATGACCTGAGCAGAAATCAAGAGTCTGACACTTAACTGACTGAGCCACCCAGGCGCCCCAGGGCATTTTTAAACACTAGATTGCTAGGCTCCATTCACTAAATCTAAAATTTCTAGGGTTGGTTTTATTTTTTATTTTGTTCTGAAATTAAAGTATGCAAAAAGAAACAGATACGGTTTTATACAACAACAATTTCTGGGCTCGCACACACTGGCGATTGGGAACCACTGCTATGAAGTACAGGACAGTACAACACAGTATATGTCCCTCTTAGAAAATCACAATGCATGCCCCTATTTAACTACAGAGCTCCTTTGTCACCACATTCCTTTTAACATGCTGGGGAATACTATTTTGAAAACAAGTCTGGGAAACAGTGGTTGAGTTTCATTCAATAAGTATTTACTCAACACTTAACTAGGTTCTAGGGACTAGAGATACAATAATTAACATATCTAGACCCCAGGCCCCTAATCGTTCATAGACAAGAAACACAAGTAGACAGGAAATTATAAGAGAGCGTATGGATAAAGGCAATTACAATGTGTTATCAAGAACACAGGAAAGGTGCGAGCGTGTGCTGGAGTGTGTGCACACACATAAATGGAAGGCCTCCTGGAGGAAATGATACTTAAACTGGGTCCTAAAGGATGAGGAGTTAACTAGGAAGGAGAGAGAGAGAAGGCCCTGGGGGATGGAGGCGGTGGGAGAAGAGTGTCTAGGCAGGGGAAATGGCATAAGCTGGCTCCAGGAGGAGGGACGGAACCAGACGTGCAAGTACACGGGTAAGGCTTGGGAAGAGAGTCACAGGGAAACAGCATGACAAGAGGCTATAGAAGGTTAACAGGGGCCCAGTCATGGAGATTTGGAAACCCATGGGGCGCCTGGGCCGCTCAGTTGGTTAGGCGTCCAACTCTTGACCTCGACTCAGGGCATGACCTCACAGTTCTGGAGTTCGAGCCTCGTATCAGACTCTGCGCTGACCGTGCAGACCCTGCCTGGGATTCTCTCTTTCTCTCTCTCTCTCTCTCTCTCTCTCTGCCCATCCCCTGCTCATGCTCTCTCTCTCAAAATAAATAAACATTAAAAAGAAAGATTTGGCCTCCCATGTAAAGGAGTTTGGACTTGTTCCTGAAGACGCTGGGAGCCAGGAGGAGAGAGAGAGGAGGAGATTTGCGCTTTGGAGAGGTATGCCTGACTAGGGGTGGAGGGAAAGTATTATTTAATCTCTTTCTCCTTCTTCTTTTTTTAAATCTCTTTCTTCTTAAAAAGCAACCTAGAGGGCATAATCAAACCTATGCTCAAACATAGAATGCATCAGAGATAAGATCAAGTGCCTGTCCTCAAAAAGCTTAGTCTAATGGGCAGGACAGAAAACAATGTTACAAATGCTCTAATAGCAGGTAAAATCGAGAAGAGGGAGCTTCAGAACGCTACTCTGGGTATGGGGGTAAGCCTGAAAGAATGACCTCTCAGTGGAGCTGGGAAGGAGGAGTTCACAAGATGGATTTAAGGGTGAGAAGGGATGGGGAGGTGTTTAACGGGGACAGAGTTTCGGTTGTGTAGATAAGAAGAGCTATGGAGAGTGGGTGCACAATGTCAATGTACTCAACACTATTGAACTGTATACTTAAAACCTTATACTTTTTTAAGTTTATTTATTTAGAGGGGAGTACATGAGCACAAGTGGGGGATGGGCAGAAAGAGAGAGAGAGAGAGAGAGAGGATCTCAAGCAGGTTCTGTACTCCTCACCAAGTGTGACGTGGGGCTCGATCTATTGACTGTGAGATCATGACTTTAGCCGAAAGCAAAAGTTGGAGGCTTAACTAAGCCACCCAAATGCTCCATAAAAAATTTTTTTAAGGAACGCTGGGGGCGCCTGGGTGGCTCAGTCAGCTAAGCGGCAGACTCTGGCTCAGGTCATGACCTGACCTCTGGGTTCACGAGTCAGAGCCCGCATAGGGCTCTCTGCTGTCAGCACAGAGCCCGCTTCAGATCCTCAGTACCCCTTGCTCTCTCTCTTAAAAAAAATAAGGAAACCTGAGTTTTATTCCCAGCTATCTGAATGACGCTGGGCAACAGCATAACTAGCTTCAGTTTTCTCACTGAAGCGATGAAAGTTATTATATGATCTTTCAGGTTCATTCTGGCTCTGATGGTTTGTGATTCCATTTTACAGACCACAGGAAAATGAAATGTGAGGCCTACCAACCACTGTTATCATCAACCTTCTGTACCTCGTTTTGGCCTTATGTACAGCCACTTAACTCAGATGGTTTTACCCCCTCAGACCAATAGTTTACCTCTGAAAACTATAGTTCATTCAAGCCTTAAGGCCAATATCGGATTCTACATCCTTCACTTCGTGCCTTTCCCCTTCAACTTTCTACAAGGCTTTCTTCTAGGTCAAGAGGTTCCTGGCACGTGAACTATGAAGGCAAGACCTAGATAACTTTGGATGGTATTTGCTATTATTTTTACTACATTATTTAAAACTTTCTAGAATATGGGGCACCTGGCTGACTGAGTCGGTGGAGCAACTCTTGATTTCGGGGTTGGCAGTTTGAGCCCCATGCTGGGTAGAGAGATTACTTAGAAAAATAAAAAATAAAAACTTAAAAAAACCCACTTCTAGAATAAACTGATGTTACTCATGTTACTATCAGAGCAGATCCATGTGGACAGGTTGATAAGAAATATGTATGGTAGTTGATTTTTATATACAGTAATACATACATAAAGGTTAAAATAAGCACTTTAGAAGTAAAGGGCTTTACAGCACACTATGTAATCTTGAAAAAGAAAGAATGAAAGATACTATTTGGTACTATTTTTAGAAGACCATTTACTAGGACATTCTCTGTCACACAGCCATTGGGATAAAAGCTAGCACTGGATGCAGGATTTCTCGGTAAGCAATACAGTGTAGTTTTTCTAATAACTTCCACCTGCTCGACTTCAATTAGACCTGCCTTCTATTTTGTATAAAGATTCCTAGCGCCAGTCTTTCCTCCTCAGGCTTTGAGAAGAGGAATATGCAGCAGCCCTAGTGTGAGAAGACAGCCTGTATCAGTGACCCTGCCTCGCAATTTAGTGAGACTAAGGAGAGGTCAATTCCTGCCTCTGAGAGCTGCCCTTTGCTCAGACCCTGCTTCCCACACCATCGGAGCTTGCTGTGGTCTCAGTGATTATAGGAGCCGCCAAGGCCTCCTGCTGGCTAGAAAACAGACACTCCCCAGTGCACTCTGTCCCTGCCCCCCACTAACTCATTCTGTTGCATTCAATGCCTTCAGGTGTAAAAGCTAACACTTCAACTGTCAAACTTGAGTTATGGTTAAGACGCAAGGAAAAATGATACAATCACTTGAATTTCTATTGCAGTAGAAAGATGACTGAGTCAGTGGTCCATTTTACCATCTCCAAGACAAGTGGAGCTATTACAGGTTTTAAATAAACGCATCGTTAGGAAAAGGGTGGTAAGCTTTCTGCTGCATGTTTTATATCAACTGATCTAATTTTAAAAGCCATTAAAATCATACTGGTTTTTGACTGAGGTAATTATCTGAATAATGTTTTAGAAGCATTTGAAATAACTTAAAGATCAAAAGGGTCTATTTTTTAAGTAAGCTCCACACCCAAAATGGGGCTTGAACTCAGAACTCTGAGATCAAGAGTTACATGTTCTTCCAACTAAGTCAGCCAGGCACCCTAAAAGGGTCATTAATGTAAAAAAAAAAAAAAAAATTAGTAAACTTTAAGGTTTATTAGCACTGGGAGAATTTTCAACCTTTGGAAGAGGTGGTTAACAGCTCAGAGAACAAAGATTATTATTATTTTTTTATTTTTTAGAGGGAGAGAGATAGTCCCAAGTAGGCTCCACACTCAGCGAAGAGCCCAATGCGGGGCTTGATCCCACGACCCTGGGATCAAGAGTCGGACACTCAACAAACTGAGCCACCCAGGCACCCCTCAGAGACCAGTGATTATCACAACGTAACTCAGTACCCAAAATGTATTCACAATTTGAAACCTTTTAACCTTCAATGTTGCTGTCAAACACTAGAGTAGCTATCATCCTTAAAGAAGGAACCTGTATTTTTAATTTTTTTTCCTAAAGGGAGTTCATATGATTCTCTTGCACATTATTTAATACACTTTCTAGGGATGCCTGGCTGGCTCAGTTGGTAGACAATGTCACTCTTGATGTCAGGGTTCTTGAGTCTAAGCCCCATGATGGGTGTGGAGCCTACTTTAATTAATGTTTTTATTTACTTGTGAAAAACAGAGTGTGAGTTGGGGAGGGACAGAGAGAGGGAGACAGAATCTAAAGTAGGCTCCAGCTGACAGCTCAGAGCCCGATGTGGGGCTTGAACCCACAAACAGTGAGATCATGACCTGAGCCAAAGTCAGATGCTTAACTGACTGAGCCACCCAGGCGCCCCAATATATGATTTACAGTGTTAGAGTGCCACTCATTCAAGCTCTATTTAGCAATATAGCACTTTTATATGTTCACACCACATGAAAAGTTGCAGAACATTCAAAATCCATTTCAACTACAAAACTTACAGATTCTATACAGTGATAAAAGCCTTTTTTATTTATTTATTTATATATATATTTTTTCAACGTTTATTTATTTTTGGGACAGA